GTTTTGGTTCTTTTAGCTAGTCTTTTGCTATATTTTTTAACAATTTGATAGCCTTTTGTTTTGGGTCAAATAGTGTTGTGCTTTTAGCAGGTGTTCTTTTGAAGCTTTAACGACTCAGCTTTAGCTTCATCAGCAAATTTCAGTGAAGTCATTCAGTGATCAGCATTCACACCGTATTTTCAGAGAAAATTTAAATGGTCTGGTTAGAAGATGAGAAACTGCTGTAGATCTGTGTCTCCTCTCCTGCTTCATATTTTTTCTGCTTTAACTGTGAGCATCAGCAGATGATCAGATGATGCCCCTTGCATACAGAGTCTCTGGAGATGGCTCCCCCCTTGGCTTCACTACAGTTTCATGACTTCAGCTCCACTCTCTCTCACCTGTCAACCAACTGGGAGCACTCTCCTCCCTGTGGGCACACTTTCTGTATCTCCCCAGGAAACCAGCAGCTCGTCCATCAGCCCCCATCTTGTCTGTCCATATTATTCTGATTCATTCCACCTCCTTCTGGCTTCAACCGAGCTTGAAGATCCCTGTGGAAGAGGGCAAAATATTTCTACAGGGTTGTCAAAAAAAAATAAAGTACCGGTAATTTTAAAAGTGGGCGTTTACCTGAAAAAGTAAACCATTTCAAATTAAATAACATTTTAAAGTTAATCCCCACTTTTCTAATTGTGCAAGAACTGAAGCTTTGTACAGTAGAAACATCCAAAACTCAAATACGTCATCAGATTGTCCTGGGATTGTGTGTGTGTGTGTGTGTGTGGGGGGGGGGGGGGATCATCCACCTTATAACTGTGTGATGTAACAGCTAAAGATTTCCTGCAACAGTCTGTACAAAACCACAAGTTTTTATTTTATTTTAAATTAATCTGAGTGAACAAGATAAGCATTCATTTTTAAAGGCTAAAGATAAAAAAAAATCATATTTCATTTTGATGATTAAATTATTAATCCACAAAAAGGAGGTTTTTTTTATTTATTTATAGTCCAAACGGTCCCCAGGAGTAAGATGTGACAAGTTGAACTGAGATCATGTCGTTATAGATCAAGTTTGAACTCTTTAATCTTTAAGTCATGACTCTAAACATCTGATATTTGGACATTAAACCAGAAACGCATCACATTTCTGTAATTGTGTTTACACATACAGGGGTGTTCACTTATTTGGTTTTAAATCAAACACATGATTCTTTACTAAAAATATATTTGGTTCAGTTTTGTTAATTGCTTTGGTCATTTAAAAAAATCAGGTATACTTAAACATGAAAATACATTTTCAAATGTAAAAGTTCAAAAGTTTTGATGTGAGTAAATAATAACTAACATGCATTGCATGCAGGGAACGGATTATGCTTAACTCAAACCTTCTTCATTCTTCTTCTGACAAGTCCTGTCAGAGCATGACATGTTGTGCTTTTATTAACCCTCACTATGCCACACTTTGTATTATCTCTGCAATGTTTGCAAGACGCTTATTAGGTGAAAAAAAAAAACACTATGTGCCCTAGTTTTGGGATACAACAAAATGTTGATGATAATAATTAATTTAGTTAAAACAAGAAGAAAAACAACGAACGTAGGTTTTGGAAATTGTGCAATTTTCTGAACAAAATGTCAGACTCCACTGACAAGTTAGGACAGGAGGAGGTTTACATCAGAGTTGCATCACTTTTATTCTTAACAATGAGCTTGGAATTGAAGTTATTTTGGATATAATATGAATTTACCCTTTTTTAAATATTCATTTTTTTCCTTCAAAAATGAGTCTTCCCATGCATGAGGATTTTTATTGGTTATTTAAAGGAAGACACTGTGCAGTTAGTATTATTCAGCTGATTTTGTAATGGTTTTGATTCCCCTTAAAATTTTGAATTATGAGCTTTAATTTCACAAACATGGTGACATAACCCGACATTGTATGCCTTGAGCTCAGACTGAACTAGGGATTTGGGGTACTAAGCTAAATATAGTCTTTAGAGTGATTGGCTTGTTAAGATGTAAACTTTTTATTTTTCAATTTTGTTCTAATAATAACATATTGCTATTCTTTCACATCACACATTCTTATTTACAATACCTCCCTTTGAACCTAGCTACTGGTCCATAGTTCCCACTTAAGGCCCCTAGCCTTAAAGGGTTACATAAAATTTTTGGTGTCAGAAGTGGGATTTTGAATTATGATCTTTGTTTATACAAACATGGTGACATGTATCTATTGCACAAAAAGTAAGGACATTTGTGCTTGGTTGTTTATTTCTTGTATCATTACTTGTCAAAAAATTACTTTGTTGGAAAGCCTGTTTATTTTCATTATATGGTGCCACTAGACTGAGGAACAGCTTCTACCATGAGGCTGTTAGACTCATGAATATCTAACCAGGATAATCACTGTGAAAAATCACATCATGTTGCTGCTGATCTGTTTCATGATGCTGTGTTCATTTGTGCTCATCTGTTCACATAGACTCATGTTTGTGCTACTGCTTAGATCTTATTACTGTTTTTCTTTTACATTTTATTGTTGGATGTAACTGGGACCCTGTGTACATAATTTTGTTCCATCACATGAAACACATGTGGTGCAAACAACAATAAAGAATCTCTCTGAATCACATTTGTTGGCAAAATCCATTCTATGGTTGAGCAGAAGAGTTTACTATGTATAGGTTGTGCTCATGAAAGACTTCTGTTGATGCTAAACAGTGTTTTCAGATATTGACTATCAGCACTTTAGTCGTATGTGTGTTTAAAGTGCTCCATAAATAAAACTGGTATGGCTGGATATGGTATGGTATTGTTTAGGCTCCAGGTAGAACGACCAACGCAACCACATGTGACAAATGCAATTTGGAGAGTGGGATGCCATCCCACAGCAGCAAGGAGGAGAGGGTGACAGGCTGGTGTGGCTGTGTATGGTTCTTCCACATCCTACTGAGACCCCAGATCATTAAATATATGATTTTTGAAATTTGACATTATATCTTAATTTTTCAAACTTTAGTTATCCAATCCAATAAACAACACTAAACATGAATCAGTGGCAGAATAAGCTGTTTGGAATTGGCACAGAAGCTTTGACAAGTTTGAACAAAAATGACTTCTTTTCTGTTGAAGAACTTTCACTTCCCATCTGAGGAACTCTCCAATTAGCTTTCATAAAGGAACAACTCATACAGTTCAAAGTGTGGAACTTCACACACTCCAGTTTTGTATTGAGGAAGCTCCTTTGATAGGAAGCCAAACACTGAGTCCATGTTTAGTTTTTTTAATCTTAAAAATTACACTAAAGGAAAAAAAGTATAACTAGTATGCAACAATGTTATGAAAATACAATTGTGGACACACAAAGCTCATTATTATGTATGTCCTCCTAATTGTAAACAGCTTGCATCAGCAGGAAAGTTAGTTCAGTCATCTTTGTCCTACTTCTAGGAATTTGTGATGGAATTCCTTTTTAAGTTTGACCACAAGGGGGCGGTGTAGCGCGCATCCTGAGCGGTTCTGCCTTCAAACAAAAGGCTTCATAATGGGTTTGAATAATTTGGAGATGTATAAACACTATGAGAAGCTGCAAAGTGTATGAGCAGCTAGAAACATAAATTGCTGTAAGCCTATGGCAGGTTTGGTCATTTTAATTTGCACGTCTTCAAACAAAATCACGTTTTGTTTCTTCCCTTTTCTCTCAGACCTTTTTGTTTAAGGAATTGCGCATTAAGTAATTTCTAATTAATAATTAAAAAAATGGTTACTTTAAATAAATTAGCTGTTGGATGCTAACCCACCATTCTATCTGAAGTGTTTATTTCAGGTGCCTGGATTTATAACCCTTAACACACTGATCAAATTTAACACTAGATGTTTAATTATATGAGAAAACGCAACTGGGAGTAAAGCTGAACAAGTTTCAGCCTCTGGTACTGGATGATGGATCATACCAGCAGCCTACCAGGAACAGTGAGCTCAAACATGGTCCTCCCGCCTCCCCTGAACCCCTTCCGGACTTTTAATTGGACGCTGCGCTTGTCGATCCCCCGTCCTCCACAGGTTAGGTTGCTCTGTACCGTTAGGATGCTCAATTGATGGGCGTACTGAGCTGTGCACTAAAGGAGATACCCTTTATTATGTTATTTTTTATTGTTGCGCAATAAAAGCATCTTTTTTCCTGCTTTCGGCCGGTTTCTGTGCGACAAACCGCCTGGAGATCAGCTGTTTTTCCTCCTCCGCGCTGCTTCACGAGCGGGTTTGACGGTGAGAATGTGGCTATAAAAAGGGTTTAAAAAAAAAAAAGCTCATGAAAGAACAACACAAGGCAGAGCATCGCGGCTAGCAGCACGTATCAGTGCTGATTAATTTAATTCAGGTGTTTTGCTTGTTTGTTTGTTTCTTCGGGACGCATGGCGGACACTTGGGGAGAACCGCACCTGCCATGAGGAGAACGCGGATCTGCGCTCGCCGGACCTCAGATCGGACAGTCAGACCTGAGGGACCTGCTTCTGTGGAGCCCTGATCACAGTTTTCATCTGTCCGTGGCGTGTTGTTTTTATCCCCCCCCCCCCCCCCCCCCCAAAAAAAAAAAAAAAAAAAAGCATCCCAGTGGAAGGATGACAGCTGATCGCTCCTCCTCTCCGTGGACGCGGATAAAAACGCGCACCGCCTGAAAGTCTCCTCCTCAGCCCGGAACAAAGGATGGAGCAGAGGACTGTGACTGCATCCCTCATCCGGTGACATGTCTCACCGAAACGGGCTCTTTCATTCACTCCTTTAATTTGGGGGAGGGGGAGGAGGGGGGGGGGGCACACCCATTCAAAAAAACAACAACAAAAAAAACCACTCCATCATGCCTCCTCCTTGCTCCTTGCGCGCTGACCTCCTGACCGGCCGGGGATGATTCTTGAGTAGATGAAATAATGAGCAGTGGGTGGGCTTGATCCACGTGTGGGGGGGGGGGGATTTGTGTAGATTATCTCCAGAGTGTTATTTGTCCCCTGTCACGGTCACGAGCTTTAGGAGAACTTAGCGGCAGCCTTTTCCCTGCTTGTTTCTAAACAGCAGAGGTGTGTGTGTGTGTGTGTGTGTGGGAGCTGCATGTAACAGCAATGCCTTCCACGGAGGGGTTTGGAGCGGACCTGCTCTCGCGCGGTGGGTGTGGGGGGGCGAGACGCGCCTCAGGGCTGTAGTCGTCGCTCCGTGTTGACGCGCCTCTCCCGGGATGCGCTCCGCGTGAACCGGAGAGCTGCTCCGTCCGCCCGGAGAGGAGAACCTCAGCAGCGCCGCTCCTGCCCCCGCGCGTCCGCGGGACTTGATCTGACTCTCCACGCGGGCGGGCGCGCCGGAGGATGTTTCAGCCAGGATGCTGCGCTTCCCCGTGAAGAAGATCCGGAAGCAGTTTAAGCTCCTGCTGCTGCTGGTGCTGCTCACGTCGGCGGTGTGGTTCACCTACCTGCACATCAACCAGGGCAAGACCATCAAGCTGCACTTCAACTACGGCAAAGGTAGGAAACCAGTGAGATCCAGCCCGCACCCATCCATTAAAACCAGTTGAACCAACAGGACTTTAAAACTTTCTAATTAATTTGAGGAACTTAAAATGATTATTTTATAGATGACATGAGCTATTTAGAGCCAAAGAATCATCATGTGATCCTTGTCTGTACTGTTAGCAAAATATCTCATGAACGAATTTTAATAAAACTTTTAGAAACTCTTGATTAATATTGAACCATTGGAACAGTGATCACTCAGTTGGCATCTATAAAGTTTGACCTTTTGGAGTCAACTTGAATCAAAATGTTCAACACAGCATAACAATAATACACAATATATGGTTGTACTTCCGTCAAATATACTTTGTACACACATTGTGCTAAAATTTTGTGTGGCAGTAGCAAAGACTGATCCCCAACTGGTACTCTAAGCGCTAAGAGATTGCCCAGTAATTTATTTTAAATTTTGGCATTAACTATTGGAGTCAACTGTCTGTTAGCAAACTATCTCATGAGCCACTGAACAGATCTTAATAAAACTTTCATGCTGTGATAACTGAAAGTATTCCAACAGCTGATTAACTTTTGGAGTCAGTCCAATTCAATATGGCCGCCACAGCAAGCTGAGCTTAAAAGCACAAAAAAAAGGCTGTAATTCTGGTAATCTTATAGATATTTTGATCAATTTTGGCCTGGATGCAGATGAGAATCATTCACAATGCATACTCCATGAGCTGCAGCTCTGCTTAAAACTTTAGCATTAATGTTGGACTCAATCCCTATTTGTTTGTTAGCAAAATATCTGAAGAACCTGGACAGATCTTGATCAAACTCTCAGAAATTATTAGTTGGATGCACATCTGCTAATTATGTAGTTTTGGAGTCAATTCAAAATGTTTTCTCAGCTAATAGAACTTAGTCAACATAAACAGAAGGCGGAGCTGAAACTTAATGTGGTAGTAGCTGAGAGTCATTCACATTTTCTTATAGCGTTATTACAACTTGCCCCTAAAAGGCAGTGGGCAATACAAATAACATGAAATAATTATTTTATGCATAGATTAAAAAAAAAAAAAACATTGTTCCATAAAACATCAGTTGTTCACATTTTATTCCACGTGCGCTGAGTTGGACCTGAAATTACTGCCAGAGGAAGCAACAAAGAGAGGCTGCGTGTCTCATGAATTAACAATCGCTTCCTCCTCCGGGCTAAATAAAGAGCATCGTCAGTCAGGGGCAGGTCGAAAGCCAGCCTGTCGCTTTCCACATAAATAATCAAAGGGCTGTTCATGAAAAGTGGCATCAGAGGTCTCAGACGTGTCAGTCAGCTTGAAAAGTGTGGACAGAGGTAAATTAAAAACAAAAGACAACCCCACAAAAATACTTCTCTCACCAAAGCTTTACTTCGTTGTGCAGCGCATCACAGGAATGACTGGTTTAAAGTTAAAGCACCACCCAGTGCCGTTCTAACTGTGTACTTCTATCTCCTGCAGCTGTCAGTGTAAGGTGATACCTAATGATTATGATGTCCTTGAAGAGCATTCACCACACACACTCACACACACACACACACACACGCACGGCTGACTGACACTGTCCCTGATCTCAACTCTAGGGTTTTCCTAGCAACAGAACTGGTTTACTGATGACAAAGGTCCTGAACCATTATTAGGCGCGAGGTTGTGACAGGATTTTGCAGGAAATATAGGACAGAGATTATTGCAGTGCAACTGTCGCATCTTGCGCAGTCATTCGGTGCAAGTTCTCCTTTTGTGCACATCTATGGAAAGGTCTTTCGATCTTTAATTGTTTTGATTTTGCAATTTAACAGTCTTGCAAATTCTGTGTCAACACGCACAGAACAAAGTGGCAACCCCTTTCATTCTCCCAAAGCGCGCCGATGCTTTCAGCGACTCTCGTTTTAAGGATTCCTCTAAATGCCGGTCCTCGTGACTCATCTGCTGAGGAAGGAAGCGGTTATTTTGTGCCGTGCAGGCCGCTGTTTCTAATTGACTGTCATCCTTTTGGCAGGCATCTGAGCAGGTCAAATCACTTAACCCCTCATGAATAACATGGCGTCTCCTGGAGGAAGGCTTTCTAAGTGAGATGTGGCGGTTGCTGCAGCAGAAGTTTGCAACTGGTAGTTTTTTTTTTTTTTTTTTTTGGTTTCGGCTGCACAATCATCTTGGTTGATTCTTAATGTGGAGCAGGTGGAAATAATGTTTTCCTTTCAAGCCGGCGTCTTCAATTATTTCCGCATTAGATTCAAATTTGGATTAAATTCAATTTAGTTCAGCTCAGTTCTCTTTCCGAATGTTCACGTGCATCACACATTTGAAAAAGGGCAGAAAATTTCTGAATTTGGACGCAGCATCAAATGCAAAGTGGTTTATTTTTTTTATTTCTAACTGGTATAACTGGCGACAGCACGGTGGCGCAACTGGTAGAGCTGCTGCCTGTCAGCGAGCAGGTCCCTGGTTCAAACCCCGGTCCAGAGGCCTTTCTGGGTGGAGTTTGCATGTTCTCTCCGTGCATGCGTGGGTTTTCTCCGGGTACTCCGGTTTCCTCCCACAGTCCAAAAACATACATGTTAGGCTGATTGGTAACTCTAAATTGTCCCTAGGTGTGAGTGAGAGAGTGAATGGTTGTTTGTCTCGTTTGTCTCTATGTGGCCCTGTGATGGACTTGCAACCCGTCCAGGGTGTCCCCCGCCCCTTGCACAGTGATTGCTGGACATGGGCACCAGCGACCCCCGTGACCCAAAATGGAATAAGCGGGTAAAGAAAATGGATGGATGGATGGATGGATGGTATAACTGGCCTTGACCAAACTTCAAAATAAAAGGGTTTAGACTTTTTCCTGACAGGTGACCTTTTTTCTGTTTCACAGCCCTGACACTGCCTATTCAGATGATGATTTACATACTACATATACTAGAACTAGTGTGATTAACATCACTTTACATACTTGGTTGAAAAGGCCAACAGACGCATCATTATTCATGGTCGCATGGGCTAATTTTCCCCGCTGTGCCCGGATATGCAGAGAAATCCGTCAAGGAGAAGTCACGTCTGACCGTTTTGCTTCAGATTTGTCATCATTCAGACGCCGAGCTCGCCGCAGCTGTGTGGAAAAGGGCCATCTCTTTCTGCCACTAAATAATTCAGGACAGGATGAAGCCGTGTGATAAACTGGTGATAGAATAGTGATGGGCAGACAACTCACCGTTTTTATGATTTGATAGCAGATAGAGGGAGAGCTGTGGGAGAAGTAGCTGCACATAAACAGCCTATGAGCTGAAAACTCAACTTTTAATACACAGATTTGTTTCTAAAGCAGCTTTTTTTTTGGCTTGAAGAAAACACTTTTTTGCTACGTCCTCTGGGAATGAGCACGCAATTAGCTAATTATATCAAGGATAAAAATAGGTAGGCTAAAAATAAAAAAACGTATAAAATTAGAAATGCCCTTTTTTTTAGTCCGTTTATAAATATTTAATCTGAAGCCCAGGTGGCTGTTCCACCTATGACGCAGGAGAGATTCAAAAAGAGGTGATTAAACCGTTTTCTGATCGCACGCTGGCCGGCGTGGCCTTATTTCATCCGAATTTCAATGAGGAAGCGTGTTGGCAGGCGGTGCTCCCGTGCATTTTAGATGAGTGCCACATTTATGTGGCCACCCAGCTTTACAGCAGCCCCCCTGTTTTCCTGCATCAACAGGTCCTCTGAGGAGGAGGAAAAAAAAAAAAAAGCTGGCCGTTGCATACAAGCCTCTATTGATTAACTCTGATTGCACACATCTAGGCGCACACATGCGCACACACTCAAACAGTCCACACACACAAATGTGTTGCATTTATCAAATAACTCAAAATATCTTCCTATGGTCACCACTTTGAAGGAGTGGGGAGGAAGTCGGCGAGGGGAAGTCTCAGGGGCCTCGACAGATTGGTTGCTCTGTTGCCCATGGAGACAACATATGGGAGAGGAGCATGGAGTGACTGAAGCTCGTTTTATCAACACCAGATCACTCGTAGGGTCTGATGAAGCTTAAATTCATTAAATATCCTGTATGAGTATAAAAATTAGATACAGATATTAGATGGAGATGCTCACATGCCCACATCCAAACACCTGGACGTAGTTTGTTTGGCCTAAAGTTGGACTTGGCTTGGTGCTAGATTTCATCAGGCTGTCATGGTAACCATGCCCTGCCATGTCACTCTCCCTAATTTTAGCTGTTGTGGTTTTCTTTTTCTTTTTTTTTTTTTCCTGCTTTACCTCAGCCGGAATCAATTTCCCAGTAAGCAGGTAACAGATCCGAGTCTTCTGTGTGTGTGTGTGTGTGTCAGTGCTTAAACACAAGCGGAGCACCTTTTTATGTCATCATTTATTCATGCGATGGTGAGAATGGTCAATTAGCTTCTCATATTTGCGAATAATGCATCTGCTCTACTTGATCCTCACTTACAGAGAAAAGCACTAAACAAACAGACATAAACACTTCATGTTCGACAAAAAAATAAAATAAAATAAAAATCAAAAGTCCAAGTAGGTCGTGTTTTTTCTCCGTCTCAGACTTGTTTTATGATCACAGTTAGATTTAGCAAGGCTGCAATCTGCACGTTTGCGCCGACAGAATGGTTCGGCTGGGGTAAAGCAGGGATTTGTGGGAACCCAGCTGCGTGCTGTGGTTTTTACAGATTGCCTCCACTTAAAAATTCTAGAGGTTTGTATCACTGTGGACGAGCTCTGGTAGTCAGAGGAAAATGGGAAGATTAAAAGTGCTTCTCGTCAGACGAAATCCTGAAATGAGTGAAATGCAGCTGAACTAATGTTGTCATTTATATTTTTCCATCATGCTGTTCGACTGGCTTGGGAAATATTTATAGATCGGAGCAAGAACATACATTCTATTCCACTTTATAGCTGCAGAGACCTGGATGTTCACTGTGACCATAAAATTGAATCTTCTAATCTGTGCATTTGTCTTTGCTATCAATGAAGAAG